CTTTATGCTAATGAAGCCCGGGAAATTCAAATCCCGGGCTTCATTAGCAAGTTCGGTATGCATACATTACCCCGCTAGTTCGAACTAGCGGGGTAGTGTAGACATACCCCCAGAGACAGCATGGACTAAGTCAAGAGACACACGCTGCTTCTTGTGCACAGAAGAGTTAAGCCCTGTCTGGACCACAGTGTGAAGAGGAGAAGCTATAAATGCGGGAAGCTGTGGGCCTGCCCACATGAGCATCGCCGTCATTTGCGACAGATCCCTGGGGAAGCAAAGAGAAAAACAGACTCACAGCTGCTGGCTCAATTGGGTCCCATTCACCCACTTCCAGGGCTGGCCGGATTCTCTTCGGAGGCCAATCCAGTGCTCCACGAGGCCAGCGTAGCGCATTATGAAATCCTTAACAACAGGATATCAGACTCTGCCCGGCTGCTCAGTTCCTGCCCCACAGGGCTTTGTGCAGCAGGGAATCTCGGTTGTAAAGCTGAGGCATTGGTACAGAAGTGATTGTACCGGCACAGGGAAGAGAATAAGCTAGACTGCTCCAAGGCACCTTTACACTGGGGTAACGACACCGCCCCTGGAGTGTACATCAGTGTAACTACAGTGGTAAGAAACCGAAAGGTGAACCTTTAAGAGAAGTTACACCCTCTACTATAGACTAGGCCAGCGTTTCTCAACCAGTGGTACGAGTACCCTTATGGGTACTCGAGAGAAGTTTGGGGAGGGTACATCAACACAACTGAAATTTGGAGAAAACTGAATTTTTGTTTTAAGTTGTACAGCACTTTATTTTTGTACTTTTTACACCCCAAAATGTCATCACCCACCCAGCTACGATTAAGTTGATTAAACCAATGTGTTGCAATGATAGAAAAAAATGGTCTGAAAACAGTAGGTATTGGGGGTACTTATGGTGTTGGTGGTGTGGTTGTTGTTGTTTTGAAAAAGGGGCACTTTATAAAAAAGGTTGAGAAACATTGGGCTAGGCATCAGCTTGTCTCTCTTTTCTGGTGGGATTTCCCCTTTGCATTCTGGGAACAGGGGAACCAGTACTGCATGTGCACCCCCACAGTTCCAAAGAGAATGGCTTCCCTCTCTTCTTCCATCCTCTGCCCCCTCCTGTAGTATCCCAGAGATCCCTTGTTTCTGCAACAGCAGCTACTGCCCACAACTCCGCTGCATCTGAGCTTTGCTGCCGTGTCTCCCCTCCCCCAGCTTCCTTTGAGTCTCTCTGTTGGGGCCAGAGAGACTCAGCCACCAGCTCCAAATACTCTGGCTGGTCACCAAGAAACCTCCAAACTGGGCAGGGGAGCCTGGGGAGCTATAAAGCTGCAGCCTCCAATCAGCATCTCCGTTACAAAGAAGCGGCCCGGTGTCTCACCTTTTCCTGCTGGGTGTCGATCCCAGCCAGGGAAGCATTGAACGAGGAGCAGAAGCGCTGGCTAGCATCCCAGCTCTTTTCTTCTGTTGAGAAATAGTAGCATTTCCCTCCGTATCCGACCCACCTCTCTGGGCAGTAGGGGACAGCATGGGAGTCCGGAAAAGAGGCAAAAAGGGGCTCCGAAGAGGGGGGGAAAGGTGCATCTGGACTGCAGGTAGCAAAAAAGGATCGAACATCCAAAGATGTCCTCTTGAGGAACACTGAAAATGAGATAACACCACAGGGGTAAGAGACTGGAGACACACAGAAAAGCAAAAGAGGAATAATCAGATCAGATCCACGTTTCAGACTCTGTAAGCCTCGGGTAGCTGCTCAGAGGATGTGAAGGAGCCAAGAGGTCATTAGAAATGGAGCCCGTTATGAGGGTCTGCTGGCCTCCTGTTTTGTTGGCATGAAGGGCGGGGGCTGAACTCAAAGGAGGATGCAAACAGGCAGAATTCCCACATATCAGCAACAAATACACAGTCTGATTTCAAAGTGCTGGGCCCTGCAGAGAGGAGATTGCTGGGCCTGGAGAATGCTACCAAAAAAGGAAAGTCACTCGCATAACTTCAAAAGCTGACTTTGAGGCCTGGCAGCCTCTCTGAGTCAGTCTCCGTCCCCCAACCATTGCCCAATATAACATCAGGAATATTTCAGTGGGCTCAATTTATTACACAATCAATGTGTAGAGGATAACAGAGGAATACCCAACATGGATTTGCCAAGAACAAATCATGCCAAGCCATCCTAATTCCAGCATATGCAGTTGTGAGTTGCAAGTCACTTCATCAGATGCATGGAGTGAGCTGCAACTCATGAAAGTTTGTGCCCCTACTACAATGGTTAGTTTTTAAGATGCCACCAAACTCCTTGGGCTGTGTCTAGACTGGCAAGTTTTTCCGCCAAATCAGCTGCTTTTGCGGAAAAACTTGCCAGCTGTCTACACTGGCCACTTGAATTTCCGCAAGAACACTGACTTCCTACTGTAAGAAATCAGTGCTTCTTGCGGAAATACTATGCTGCTCCCATTCGGGCAAAAGCCCTCTTGCACAAATCATTTGCGCAAGAGGGCCAGTGTAGACTGCACAGTACTGTTTTGTGCAAAAAAGCCCCAATGACTAAAATGGCGATCGGGGCTTTTTTGCGCAAAAGCACGTCTAGATTGGCAAGGACGCTTTTCCGCAAAAAGTGCTTTTGCGGAAAAGCATCCATGCCAATCTAGACGCTCTTTTCCGAAAATGCTTTTAGCGGAAAACTTTTCCGTTAAAAGCATTTACGGAAAATCATGCCAGTCTAGACGTAGCCCTTGTTGTTTTGGCTGAAACAGACTAACACAGCTACCCCTCTGAAACCTGTCATCCTAATTCCGTTGTTTGACACAGTTATTCGCCTAGTAACAAACTGAACTGGTTTAGAGAGGAAGTGAAGCCAGCAATACATAAGAAATGGAATATTCCTCAAGGGGCTATCAATAGTGGATATAAATCAGAAGTTAGGAATTGTAGAAAATTGATAAGGGACATCAAGGAATACAGACTGTGGTAATAAGCCAGCTATCCAGTGTCCAGTAGGGATTTTGAAAAAAAGTAAAAAATATTGTGGGATGCAGGTGTAATTACAGAATGACAAACACAGTATTGGGGGTGTTCCCTGTCACCCCCGCAACTCATGTTGGCCCTGCATAACTCATTGCAAAACCTCCCCCAAACACCCTGTGCTAGACGATGGTGAGTTGCACAGAGGGAGAGGTACCCAGCAAGCACCGCTCTCTGCATCAAAGTGCTGCTAATGAGGACACACACTGCCAACGAGGAGTGTAAAGCAACGGAACTACTGCGTCAGCAGAGTTCTGTGCTGGAGACATGCCCTGAGATGGAAGGGACATAACTTTCACCCAGGGACACGAAATGGGGCAGCAGAAAGCTAGTACTACAGAAGGGTCCATTGATCAGGTTACCAAGTGATCAGGAATGTTGTCTGTAGTTAAGGGAAAGAAATAAAACTCTATTCACCTCTTGGGTGTGTCTAAACTACATGGCTCCGTCGATGGAGCCATGTACATTAGGCTGATCAGCAGAGGGAAATGAAGCTGCGATTTAAATAATCGCGGCTTCATTTAAATTTAAATGGCTGCAGCGCTCTGCCAACCAGCTGATCATCAGCT